CAATTTAATCAGATTTACTCGACTTATCCCGAAAATCAATGAAACGCTGTTTATTTATCCGCGGTTTGCCAATGAGCTATTTACTATTCAGGAATAGGGTAATTGATTCTGGTTGGACCTATCCAAAAACTGATGATGGTTGGACCTATTTTTTTCAATCGCTAGTTAAGTCAATCTTCGCTAAGTTTTTATTTTCAAAGATCACTTTACTATCATAAAAAACGCTTTTTCTTCAATTTTCATGGGTGTTTTATTGAAAAAACTTCAAAACAATTGAGTTTCAATGTGTTTTCAAAACAGTTCACTTTTCACGCATTAGCTTGTCATCATGCCTTACTTTCAAACATACAAAAAGGGAATATTTTTCACATTTATTTTTATTTTCATCCAGTAAAATACTGCTTTAAGGTGTAAACAACACGTTAGTACGCCATTTATCCATTGGTTTCACTAAAATGTTTGAATAATTGACGAAATTCGAATAGATAAATATGATCATGGTTGGACCTACGCATGATGATGGTTGGACCTATGTGTTCCTAATACGGCCGCTAGGTGCGCTTCGGTTTGTCTACATCCTTCATGCGCAGCTGATTTGAAATTCGATTTCGTTTTTTCCGAGTGATCAGTTTCTTCGATTGAAAAAATGGCTAAAGAAAAGAGTTATACGGTCGAAAATCTTCAAAAGGCTGTTCTTTTAGTAAGAAATAAATCACTTACCGCGTATCAGGCACAGAAAAGGTACAATATTCCGAAAACGACGCAAAAATTAAGGGATGCCACGGCAAGAAATATGGAAGGGAAATAGTGTTGAGTGTTGATTTGGAGAACCAGCTAGCGAATTGAGTTTGTATGTGCGCTGCTTCTGGCAGTCCCAAGACGGCCAAAAAGATCTTGGAAGCTGCTAAAGACCTTGCGTCACTAGTTGGGCGTAAATTTAAAGGAGGAATTCCATCGTCAGGTTGGTTGAAAGGGTAACCACCGATTTCCGAACTACCACGGAAGCGCCGAAAGAATCTGTTAATATGAATTTACATTAAGCACTTCACATACACCTTCTGTGTGTGAATTAACTTGAATTACAATGCTAACAAACTAAAAAATGCTAACTGAAACTTATTTCCGAAAAAAATCTCCTAGTGGAAAAAAAACTATAAAACCGGAATTAAGTTCTGATATTCTGTCATTTTAGGCCCCTAAATTCCCCGGGGGCACCCAGAACAGGCCCGGAAGTGGCCAATGTGGTCTAAGGCACTCAATTTTGTTTTTGATCTTGTTATCGAATTTGGAAGTAATGTAAAGTGTCGCATGATAGGTGAAAATTAGGTCCATGTTCCATGTACCCTGGAACTTTTTCCGGCCATATCTCTGGAACCAGTTGACCGATTCCAAAAATATTCAATAGCTTTCAATGGGACCACAAAACCTATAGTTTGACGTTAAAAAATTTCCAAATTGGGTCAATGATTCCCGAGAAAATGAGCCCCGATGAATAGCTAATGCGTGGAAATTTTGGAGGCGAACCAGCCCCAGGCTGAAAGCCTCCCTAATAAAGATAAATTAATTAATTAATGCGTGGAAAGTGAACTTTTTTTAAAAGCGAAGTTAAACTCAAATTTCTTGATTTTTTTAAATAGCAAATTCATAAAAACTGTATAAAAAGGGTTTTTTCATGATACCAATAAGCTCTAAACAAAGTTTTTGAACAAATATGGGCTAAACTAGCATTTGCAAAAATAGGTCCAACCATCATCATATTTTAGGTCCAACCAAGATCAGTATAGGTCCAACCAACATCATAATTCGTTGCTGAATAAAAACGTTTTATAAAATCATTTGTTCATAATATTTAATTTTTTATGTTATTATTAGAAACAAGAAAGGTAGAATATAATTAGAAACAAGAAAGGTGAATTCATAAAAAAAAATACGACATGAATATTGACGTCGTGTGAAACCGGCCTAAATAGGTCCAACCATCATCAGTTACCCTATTATGTATTAAAAAGAAGAAATCATCGCCTAGAAAATACTTTTTTATAGAAAATTTAAATTATAACAAAACTACATGTTTTCTCTTTAGGATAATCCGACAACACGACTAGCCGAAATATCATATGTTCGACCATACACACCAAATTTTGAATCAGCTTTCCAGCAAAACGAATTGCTGAACAGAGTCTAGCAAAATTAAGATTTACTGTGAATCCAGCAAACATTTTTGTTTGCTGGATGATCAGTAAAATGCGGGAACTGTCAAATATATTGCAATTTCGTACTTTTAAATTGGTCGTTAAATGTTTGTTCTATGAACAACTTGCGAGTGTTATGACTGTTTGTCTGTGGTATTTCTTAGTTTTCACTGAATTTATCGCTACACAATTTGAATTACAGCTATGATGCTAAAGTGTGAAGTAAATTAAGTTTGAATTACATAAAATCTTTGATTTTGTCTCAAAATAAACCTTTACTGATTTTGCTGATTATACAGGTAGTTTTCGTATAAGTGTGCAGTTTTCTCCGTCAGTAAGACTCCTTGGTAGGTCAGAGTAGAGCAGCATACCGTAATACGCAGCCATCCACCCACCGAAGTCTACTAAATCCACCACCAGATGGAGTAACAACAGCATGTTAAGCGGCCATTAGAGGTGGCGCCAAAAGGCTATTATGATCGGCATAACGGGCACGATGACTGGCGATGGAAACCGAATGGCCTGGGTTATAGTGAAATGTCAAAGAATGTCTTTCTTGGCTACATACACCGATCAATTTTCAAACAACCTGCGAGTTAAATAGTCGACCATAGTTTCAAATCTCTGATATCATTCAAGATAAAGCCTAGATATAAGAAAGAATTACTGTGCAGGCATCAGATAGAGAGATAGTGAGAGGAAAGTGAAGGAGAGTAGGCAGGTAAATTCCCGTAATCACCATTTTGGTTCAAAGGTCCTATTGTGAACCGTTTGTCCGTCAGAACCCCGCTGTAATTTTAAATACAGAACGGCTGAAATATACCTGTTAGACGTACCGGTAGACTATGCCAGTCCCCAGCCAAATAAGGACATTTCCGGCACGAACCACCGAACCCGAGTCCGTCAACATACTCGGAGGCCCAGCCAGCATCAGAAGGGCGAGAGAAATACAGCCGCGCGCGAAGGAGGAAAGTGAAGAAAGTGGAACGTGAAGCTGAGCGAAGCAGTCATTGAGGAAACGTGGTGGTGAAACTGTGAGGGGCTCCGAAGAAGAAGTGAAGGACACAGAAAACAAGTCAGAGTAGTAGAAAGTGGGAGCATAAGGACGTCAGTAGAAACCGACAATAAGTAGTTTTTTTAAGTGAAGTGCTGTAGGAGTTTTTTTGTATCCAGTGCAATTATTCCTTGCCACGCGGAAACCTAGTTCGGTAAGCGTGCCGACCCTGAGGCCATTGTAGTCAGGGAGTCTCAGGATTGCTTCTGACTGAGGTGGCTAGTACTTACAAGGTTCTTGTCCTTCTTGGCAGCGACACGATTGGATTTCGTGAAACGTCGGCGCTCTTTTCTGCTCATCGATGTGCAGATTGCCGGTTACGGACGTGCCACAAGGACACGTGGTAGCATTCACGGCAGGTGAGAGTCAACACAAGGAAGCCCTGGAACCGCGACTCTAGACGGAAGATCCGATCAGCTGCTTGCACGCCGCACAAATTTAACTTTTTCCTTCTTAGAGTTTTTGGCGGTTTGGTGATCGACAGTTCTCGCGTCACTTTTCAAATAGACCAATGTAACAAATGTAAACAAATCGAGTTAAGCGATACAAACTATTGCTCTTCTGTCATTGTATGTGATACAAAAACATCTATCCAAATTTACTTTCATTTATTTAAGATAATCATTGATCAAAAATTGTCCAATGTACAGTTTGAAATGATGGGTACATGATTGTTACTTCGGTCATTCGGACTGCCTAACATGATTGGTGCTCATTTTCCAAAGGCGGGGCCAATCTAAAGTTAGGTACTATACTTTGAAATCTGTGAAAGGGAATCTAGTATCATGTAGACAAAACGTCCAATGTAACATTCATTGATTATGTCATTGAGAAAAATCGTCCAATGTAACATGTCCGATGTACAACTCGACTTGTTAAAACGTCCTATGTGATTTTTTCTATGTTGTAGCATGAAATTCAAAGTAAATTGTGATTTTACTGTTTCTTCTGAATTTTCAACGTTTTTATACACTGACTACATTAAAAATAGTATTACAAAATGTATTGTTTTTAAACATTTAAAATAATAATCTGTCGAACTTCAACTTCGATTTTCTCAAAATGGTGGATATGTTACATTGGTCTATTTGAAAAGTGAAGCGAGAGTTCTGCTGTAGCCTAACGAAAGCCGGATAACCAGTTGGTATCTGCGGACAAAGGAAATATTTAGATTCAGTATCACTATAGAACGACGTAACTCACTGCCTTGAATTTATGCTCCTCATGCTTTTCAGTAAATGTTTGATCATGCTGCTTGGCACCGGCAAACTGGGGCCACTAGAAAAAAAATCATACACGCGAAAATTTTATTCCGATGTCACTGATGTTAACAGGTGCTCATGAAGCCACCATAGAAATAGTACGTTTCCTAATTTAAAATGTTTCTTATTTCACATATGGAAATCCCATATACAAAATAATGAATACCTGGCAGTTTATTTCATGCGATGTTTTTTTTTACACGGACGCATCAATCACGTAAAGTGTAAAATAAAGTGAAATTTTGCAAGCCCTCGCCAAGCGAGAAATGCGAATACCACCGTTAGGTGAATCAATCTGGATATTTTGATGCGAGTTAGTTCGTTCACTCATAAAACAGGTTGGCGATATGAGTGGGGTTTCTCCCAAAATTACAGTTCAAATATTGGTCTCCGTTGAGCAAACGTTGTTGGATTCGATCTCATCTGCGCCACTTCAACCGTTCTGCTAGGTTTCTGACCAATTATTCACCTCAATTTTTCCTCTTATTTCAGGACTTAAAATGCGGCTATTCGCTAGCATAGGAATAATTCTACTAGTAGTAGTACTACAATCACATTGCCAGTAAGTATAATCACTTTCAGCAACCTGGTTCGCAGATATTCCTAACCCTTCCTTCTCACCTTCCAGACAGGATCAGGATCTAACGATCGGGCCGACTCGGCAAAATCTCGACCTGGTATCCAGGAGCGTAACCAACTTGGCCCAGAAAATCAGCCTTGCCATCGCCAGTCCAAAGAGCAAAACGGAGCTCTTCTCCCCGGTCAGCATAGCGGGTGCCCTTTCGCTGCTGCTGCTCGGTTCCGGTGGCACAACCAGAGATGAATTGACCAATCTGTTGGGCTTTCAGGGTCAACCGATCAGTTTTACCGATATTCACAAAAGTTTCGGCCGGCTGTTTGAGGAATTGGTTTCGAACGAGCCCAGCATGATGACCAGAATTCCCTGGCGGGAGAATGACAAGTGCAATAACCCCGACGAAGACGAAGAAGACGAGCCTTCCTATCAACCATCGAAAGCCCCAAGCAACCAGGAAAATCGGAACAAACGTGACGCCGAGTAAGTTGATTTCATATTTTGTTTTCTGCTTCATAATGCACCCATACCAAATCGTATTTTTTTTATAATTTGCGAGTCTATTTTTAATACTGCACAGTCATTCGTAAAGTATTCTTGTCTTCTCCGAAGTGAATTGTCATTGTCGCGCATTTTTTTTTCACGCGGGCCAAAGCAATCAACACCCGTCGTTGTGCAGTAAAAAAAAAACTAAAGACGAAAAGAGACAAGATCCAAATTAAAATTGGCAGTGAGAAATTGAAAAAAAAAAACGTAGAGAATGGTGAAATGAAGATCCAAAAGTGAAAGTTTCAGCAGAGATCGAATGGATTTTGCCATTTTTTACACAGACACAATGATCAAATGTAACGAAAAGGTAAATATTTCCTATTCTGTCTAATCCTACTTGTTATTAGCTAATGCGATCTTGCGGATATATAGTTCTATGGTTGTGATACAGTGACAATCACTTTAGATGGCTAGTTAGTGGTTACTAATGTGGTGGTTTTGCATGCCCTTGCACGTCCTTGCTTGTTCCTTAGATTAACCAATGTTGAGTAAATAATTCGTGACGTTAAGCAGTGTCGTACGAAGAAGTGTGTTATACGCAGGGCGTCACAATATCAGCTTCAATCGACCAAATCGATGCGACGAAGAGACTAATGGCGTTCGTTCTCTCGTCAAACAGCTTCGCAGCATTCTAGAGCCTCAGACGGCGGGCGCAAACAAATGTCTTTCTTTCTCCCGCCGCTCCATTGGTCTTTCTTTCAAGCTTCGGTGAAACGGAAGAGCGAAAAAGCGCTCGACTTTTAAAGTTTCGACTTTCATGAAACACATCAACAGAGGTTTCATGACGTATATGACGGGAAATTTAAATATACCTATATATTTCAAGCATTTCTCACGTGAAACACTTGAAGATTACACGTAATATGTTTAATTTATCTTCCATCCGCATATTTATCTAAAAAAATAGCTAAAACGGGACATAACGCATTTTAAACAAATTGAAAGAGCGATTATAGAGTGTTCGTGAAAAGGATTGAAAGCCATCATGAGGTTCATGAGTTCAACTAGGAAATCGACGTTACTTACATTGAAACCGATGAGCAAAGCAACGACGAGAAGATCCACGCCTTTCATTCTAAGCGTGCTTCTTTTTCATTTTCGTTTCTTGCTGATAGTCTAGCTAGGCGTTGTAGAAATAAAGCGTTGAACATGTTGTATGAGAGAAATAAGAATAATAAGAACTCGAGTTAATTTTAGAGCTTCGAAAATGTAGAGCCCTGGTTATACGTAATCTGTGCGATATAAAAAAAATAAAGGGTTGTGTCCTAGACACGACCGCAGTATGACGTAGAACTACGAAAAATTGATGTATGTCATGCATTTTTGATCATTATACTTTATCTTAAACTATCTTAAATTAAAGCATTTCAATGTTTCGGTTATGGTTTAATGTTGGTTCCAGTATTTTTTCTGGAATGTGATAAATTATGTAAATTCAAATGTGGGGTACTAAACAAAACGTCATATATTTTGGAGTAGCACCCCAGTATAGTCCACAAAGACGCCATGCATGTTGTGGGATAAAACAATTGCCAAAAAATACGTTAATTTTTCTCAGTAGCTTCATCATTAGTTTTAAATAAGGTCTCTGAAGCAGAGAAGAAATTCATGGTTGCATTTTGTTCATATGTCAGCGAAGTAGGGGAGGAAGGGGTACAACGATGAAACGGAGCTTAAGCACCTCTTTGTTCTTCAATTTGGAGGACAACCCTAACATCAAAGTATCATGCATCATCATTATGTAGTTTACAGCGTGTTCGTAGAATGATGCAAAATGGAATACTGTGATTTTTCTCAAATCAAGCGTTTGGTTTAATAATTAGGTGCATAATACAACATTTATTGAAAATTAGGGGGATTCAGATATTGAATTTTAAAGTCAGAGCAAAAGCTCGTGATCCATCAGTGAAAAATCTTCTATTGAAATTGACTTGTTGGTACTTTTGAGCAAAAATACGGGGGATTGAGATAGGTTGAAGTTGATCTGGAACTCCTTGAATAGCCTGTTTCATGGAGAGATAAATATAGTCAATAACGGAACTGTACACACTTAGAAAAATTGATGTAAATTTAGGCGCTTTGAGACTGACATATACGGGCGTCAATTTTGACATAAAATTGATTTATAATAGACGCGAAATTCAGCTCAATCAAACATACTTTCGAGCTTTTCAGTCTCGGAGCACATAAACATGACATGTTTGTTTAAGTCTCATCCTTTATGTCAAAAATGGATTCCGTCACGTGTAAGATTAGGTATTTCTAAGTGTGTAGTTAGTAAAGCATACACGAGGGGGGTTATAGCACGGAAGGCTAATATCCGATGACATATAATTCAGATAGATTCGCACAAATCTAGACTGGATCCTCAATTCGAGCATTTCTTCAAAGTTTTGAATCACAAGGTTGTTACATTTAATCAATATTCTTAATGAGAGCTCCCAGAAACGGTTATGCAGGGGTTTTACTCCCGCTAGAACCTCTAGGCTCATATTGTGTGTTGAATGCATACAGCCAAAGGCAATACGTAAACAACGATATTGAATGCGTTCCAATTTAATTAGGTGGCTTTTTCTTGCTGAGAGGAAGCCAAAAGAACCATACTCAAGAACTGAAAGAATAGTATTTTATATAGTTTAATGAGGTCTTCCGGGTGAGCACCCCACCATGTCCCGGAAATTGATCGTAGAAAGTTGATCCTTTGTTGACACTCTTGTTTCAAATGCTTAGTGTGGGTACCCCAAGTGCATTTTGAATCAAACCAGACTCCAAGGTATTTGAAGGTCAAAGATTGGGTAATGTCTATGCCCAAAATATTTAGACGCAGATGGGCTGAAAGCCACTTCCTTGTAAACTCTACCAATTCAGTTTTTTGCGGTGAAAACTCGATCCCTAAATTTCTTGTTCAGAAAGACAGATCATATTTGTTCTGATAATTTCCTCATATAGATCGAACGGTAAGAATTGTGATCAGACGCTGGTTTCCAAGGCTTTTGCATAGCTATTACTTTAACCTGTCTCCACGCTGGTGGAACTACATTGAATTCCATAAATGAATATAGGTTAAATAATGGTCTTTTAGCGATATAGGGGAGGTTGTTTAGAAAGTCGAATTTGATCATATCGCTTCCCGGAGCATAGTTATTCGATTATTGACAATTCCAGCATTGTGAATGGTTCATCCAGAGAACCGTTACTTCGGGCTGTATCCCGTAAAGTTGGTTGTGCTGGTACAGAGTCTGGACAAAAATTTTTAACGAAGTCGAATATACATTCAGATGAGTGGTTTCGCATAGAGCGAGCCTTTTTCCAAAGCGTTGTCATCGAGGTTTCTCTAGAAAGTCCCTCGATAAAAGTACACCAGTAATTTCGTTTCTTTGCTTTTAGTAAGCTTTTAAGCTTTTTTCAAGCTTAAGATACTTTTCAAAAAGCTCAGATCTTTCATGTCTACGATAATCTCTAAAGGCATCGGATTTCTCAAGATACAACTTTGTGCATTCGTCATCCCATCCAGGGGTGGCGGGTCTTCTTGTGAGGGATACACTTGGAACACGTCGTTTCTGAGCTTCTTATGCGCTTTTGTCGATTAGTTCGGTAAAGAAACGATACTCGTCCAATGGTGATGGAGGATCGGTAGAATCAATACCAAGAGTTACCGGCGATACAAATTTTTGCCAATCAATGTTCTTCGTGAGGTCAAAAGGAACTTGACTGATGTGTTTTAAGACGACCACTTTGGATTGGTAAGTGATCACTATCATGGGGATCATTGATAACCTTCCACAGACAATCTAATGATAGTGAGTTAGAGCACAAATATATGTCTCGAGCAGGAGGTTTTGCTATACGTGTTGCTTCACCAGATAGTCAAGTTAAAATCGTCGCAAAAATCGTAGAAATTACTCGCTCTATTGTCATCGTATGATTCGCCCCAGCTAGTACCGTGTGAGTTTATATCGCCTAGTATTAGACCCTCAGATGGAAGGATATTAACTGAACTCCAAAGCTGACGGCGGTTTATGGAAGTCCTTGGAGGGACATATACAGAAGCTATACAAAGATCTTTGTTCTTCACATTTATTTGACAAACAACAATTTCAATGCCTGAAATGATTGGGATTGAGATTTTATAGAAGAAGTAGCACTTTTTGATCCCCAAAAGTACGCCACCATATGAATCATCTCGGTCCAGGCGGATAATGTTAAAATCGTGGAAGTTTAGTTCATCTTCAGAAAAAGCCAAGTTTCACAGAGTGCAAAGATATCACAATCAGAATTGTGAATCAAATACTTGAACGAGTCTAATTTAGGTATTAAACTACGACAGTTCCATTTCAATAAAGTGAGTTATCCATCGAAATGGTTTGAGGTTAAATTTTGTTTTTAAAATAATTAAAATTGCTTTCTCAATACCAACAATGTACTTACTACACCTCATTGGAGACTGTTCATGAACCCCGTAGACACTTTAGGCGAGTGGTGGTGGGAGCTGGTGTTGATGGCTTATATCTACTGTCCATACACATTCCTAAATATGTGCATAGACTACTGTCTACACAGAGGGTGGGATGGAGGGAGGGGGATCTAAAACCTGTGAAAAATGGTCTACGTATTAGAGGGAACCAGCTTGACACATTCTCAACTGGATTATGGTTTTTACAAAGTTTTTATTGAAAACATCCAAAAAATAAAGGGTGTCCACAGCTAAATTGCATAATTTTTTTCTCCTCTGTTCGGGACATAAGACTACTGCGACCAGTTATTTGATCTATTGTAGTATATCCTGTGTCCTTAGTTGAGTGCATGTCGTATTACTTCATCACTATTGAGAAATGATGAAGTATTCGGTATTGATACAGTTGTCATTCTAGCCTTCATTGCAAGTAATCGATTCTAATTGAAAGGTCCCGCTATTTAAACCCTTCGGAGTGTTG